GGGCCGGGGAGGGGACGCGGGGCAGTGAGGGGGCGGGCTCACGGGCCGCCAGCGCAGTTCGAGGTGCCCGGGGGCCCTGTGTGGGCGCACGGGGGAGCCTGCGGTCCCGTGTCCCCTGCCCACCGTCCCCATCCTGTGACAGGTACATCTACCGGCTCTGCCCCTTCAAGCTCGTCTCTCAGAAACCCAAGCTTGGCGGCTCCCCCACCAGCCTTGGGTGAGTGGGCTCAGACTGAACCCCCCCCCCCCCCAGCTGCCCAGTCCCCGCCAGCACCGCCCCCCACCCTAAGCACCCTGTCTGCCGCAGCACCTGGGGCTCGTGGGCTGGCCCTGAGCACGACAAGTTCAGCGCCATGAAGTACGAGCAGGGAACGGGCTGCTGGCAGGGCCCGAACCGCTCCACCACCGTGAGTGCCAGGGGGTGCGGGGGGCAGGGGTTGCGGGGGCCCGGGCCCACCTGAGCCTGCCTGAGCCCCTGCCTTGCCCATTCCAGGTGCGCCTGCTGTGTGGCAAGGAGACCGTGGTGACCAGCACCACGGAGCCCAGTCGCTGCGAGTACCTCATGGAGCTGATGACGCCGGCCGCCTGCCCTGAGCCGCCGCCCGACGCGCCTGCCGACGGCGACCACGACGAGCTCTAGCCCGGCTGGGCGCCGAGGTGGGCAGGGGGCTGAGGCTGCCTCGACTCGGGGCTGCAGCGGGGTCTGCGGAACACTTCTGTCCCCACCCGTCCGCCTCCATCTCCGTCTTTCTCATGTGGTCTTTCTCTGGCTCCAGAACCTCAAGGCACAGAGATGTCCCCGGTGGGGCCGCCCGCCCACCCCACCCTGTGGCCCGAGGCCCGCCCCCCCGGTGTGCTCAGCCTCCCCACAGGGGCAGGAGCCGTGTGGAGCCCCGTGCCCTGCCGGGGGTGGTGCGGCTGCGTCCCCAGGCCCCCGCGGTCTCCAAAGGTGGAACACAGGAGTTCGCCCGCCCCAGGCACCCGGCCCCCCGCCCCCGCCCACGGTGTCTGCCTCCCTTCCTGGCGGGGATGAGTGACTTGACCTGTGACCTCAAAACAATAAACACCATCCCCCCCAACCAGGCTGTGTCTGCCTTGCTTTGCTCAGGTGTACACGGGGCCAGGGATGGGCTGAGGGGGGAAATTCAGGAGAAGCGGCTTTCTGCAGATGGTGCCCAGACCTTGTCCCCCATCAGGCTGGCCCCACAGCTGGGGTCTTACCAGAGCCTGATTCACATCTGAGCTGCCCCACGGGCGGTGGAGAGAAGTCCAGCACCACAGGGCAGACGGACCCCAGGCCCCTTCCATCCGGGCTTCTGCCCGTACCAGTGGCCCACCCATCCTGAGTCCCAGGTGCGTTGTGGGGAGGCCCCGGGGCTCCAGATGAGAGCCAGGCCCAGGGAGGGACGGCAGCCTAGGCGTGGCCGCACAGCTCGGGTCAATGACACAGACTCCCAACGCTCCCCACCTGCCGGCACGGACAGCGGAGACCGTAAGATTCTGAACTTTTATTTTCTGGCATGAAAAGTACAAATAATTAAACAATTCCATGTAAAAGTCTGTTACCGCGGCCAGGCCTGTAATCCCGGTAATAAATAGTCTAAACGCAACGCAAAGTGTTCTTGTTGGGTTTTGGGTTTTTGTGATTTTTTTTTTGTCTTTTTCTTTCTTTTTTTTTTTCTTTTTTCTTTTTTTTTTTTTTTTACAGTTCTTTATCACCTCCAACATGGACTCTGTCGTGATTTGAAACCTTCTGAATAAATAACAGGATGAAGGGAGGGCTGGAGGGGCTGAGCCCCCATCCCACGGGCCCTGCCCCTGACCCCCAGGGATGTGGAAGACCCCAGGCCCTCCCCCGCAACCGGCCCCTGGGGTGAGGGGATGGCTTTTGGGGAGGGGGCCTGGCTGGGCTGAGTTCCGTGTTTTAGAAAAAGGAGTCCCCTCCCAGACTTGGGGGTGTCAGGGGCCTAGGCCTCAGTGGGGGGGAGGGTGTGTGTGGGGAGGTGCCCCCTCTGCAGAGCCCGGCTGCCCCAGGGTAGGGGACAAACCCAGCCCTTATTGCTCACAGACGCCTCCTGCACGCTGCCCACGTGTGCCCACGTGTCCCTGCGCTCGGAGGGCGGAGGGGAGAGAGCCCCAAGACACAGCAGAGGGAGAGGGGTGGACCCACTGGGGGTGCCTGCCCTGCTGGAGGGGAGCTGGGAGGTTGGGAAGGACTTAAAAACCACAAGAATAAATAGGTTCGTGTATCAAGAACAAGCTAGGGTTTTTCACCAGCTAAATAGGACTGAAAAAATTCTCAAGACGAGCAAAAAGAATCCCATTAAGACCCCGGACGTCGCTGGCCGCGGGGACCGCCCCACAGAGCACACGCCCCCCGGGCGCCGCTCGGCTACCATTACTGTTATTAATAATTATTATTACTTTAATGATTCCATTTCCCCTTTTATAAATAAATTAGGCATAACCACGTCTCAGCAAAACTTAAAGAAACAAAGAGAACATCGTGGTTCCTTTAAACTTGCAAACTGGATGAAGTAACAGAAATATACACAAATGTCCTTACAGGGCAACAAGGAGAATAAATAGTTAACATAGCAATAAGTTAAAACTACAAGAAGCTAAATTCGGCAAAAAAGTACAAGAAAGTTAACTGGTGCCAGTTTATGTCTTTTTTTTTTCCTTTTTTTTTTAAATCTCTTCTGTGTGTTTTTTTTTCTTCCTTTTTTTTGTCGCTTTTTTCTCTTCTGTTTGTGTTTTTTTGTCGCTTTTTTGATTTTTTTTTTTTTCTTTTTGTTCCTTGCAGCAGAAGCTCCACAGACGTTTACTAACAAACACCGGGAGGGGTGGGGGAGAGAGAGCTGGGCAGTCAGATGGGGCCATGGCCGGACACCAAACGCAGGGACACCGGAGGAAGGGCGACTGAAGCTGAACTCGGGGTTTGTAATTCTCAGTTCCTACTGGGCCCGCTGCGGGGGGTGGGGGGCTGCGAGGGCTCCCAGGGGCTCCGGCCTTCGGCTTCTGTTGGAATTTTTTCTTTCTTTTTCTTTTTACTTTTTTTCTTTTTTTTTTTTTTTTTTACAAAGAATGAAAACTAGGGGAATGGAGAGCGTCTGGACTTTCCAGACAGAAGCCGGGGCTGGGGCTCGGGATGGGGGCTGCATCCACGGCCCTCAGGAGTTTGGAAAGACAGAAAAACCCAACAAACTGAAAAGGGGTGACAAGTGGGGGGAGAAGGAATTTGGGGCTGGGCCTCTGGGCTCATCCACCCCAGGGTGCCGGGGGGGGGGGCGCGGGCTGGAGGGAACAGCGGGTACTTCCTGCTGGGGAGGCCTTGGGGGAGAGGGAAAGCTCAGGGCCCAGCCTCCCCCCTCAGCCTCTGGGCCAGGGCCTCGGCCCAGGGAGGTTCAGCCCCGGGGACAGGGGGTCCTTTGGCCTCAAGTGTTGGGGGGGGCTGCCTCCAGCCCACCATGACGCCAAAAGTGAGACGAGGTATCGTGTGTTTGGATGCATGGATGCTCTGTGTGTGCACGCCTGTGTTCGTGGGCGGCAGGGACCACTGATGAGCCAGGAGAGAGCTCTGCAGAGAACCTGGGGCCGGGCTGAGTGGGGCCACGCATCCGCAGGAGACCCGGGCGGCCTAGCTGGAGGAAGTGGACTGGGCCAGGGTCTGGGCTACCACCCTCTCGCCTGGGCCTAAGGGATGCTGTGGGCATGTCGTTGTCTCCTGGTGTTGTCTCTCTGCTTCTCCATGACCGGGTGTCTATAGATTTGTGTGTCCAAATGTCTGTCTCTGCTCTGACGTGTCCACGTGGAAATGTTCGCATTCCGCATCCACCTGCGGCCGCATCTGCCCACATCGGTGTTTGCCCGTGGCCACATTTGCTAGCCCCCCTGCTTCGGTCTTCTGTGATTATCCACGTGTGTGTCTGCATGTCTGGGTCTGGCCCACGAGCTCCTGAAGGTGTCCGGGGCATGTCTCTGGGTCTGTCAGTGCTTCTGTGTGTCCCTGTGTGTGTATGTGTGTGTGTGTGTGTGTGTGTGTGTACGCGCGGGTGCGCACATGCCCCCGCGTGTCTTCGCGTGGCTGTGTTTCTCTGTGTGGCCCCGTGGACCCCCGGCCCCCAAGCCCTGCTCCCTGCCCCTGCCCCAGTTGGTAAACATAACCTGCCAAAATATTTTCTTTTTTTTTTGTCTTTTTTTGTGTTTTTTTTTTTCAAGTTCAAGAATCCCCAGTAAAAATTCTCCACGAGGTCTTTTTTCCCTTTTTACAAAAATAGAGTTTTTCTTCCCCTCCCACCCCCCCTTTTTTTTTCATTTTGTTTCTGTTTCCAGCCCCTCCCCCTGCTCCTCACACTCCATCCAGGGGCTCTGGGCCAGGGATGCCCACACCCCTCCTCCGTTTCGCTTTTTTGGGGATTTTTAAACCTGTTCCCCCTCCCCTCAGGCTCATCTAGGTGTTGGGGAGGCCTGGGCAAGGGGGTCTGGGAGGGCACCCCCAGCGTCCCCGCAAAGCCATCCCGTGGAGGGTGGTTGAAGGTGGGGTGGGGGCACATCTCTGCTTTCTTTTTAGCCGAAAAAAGAAACAAAAACCATCGCCATGAACAAAACCAAGACGAGAGAGTGAACAGCCCAGCCTGGGGTGGGGGCAGGAGGACGGGGTGGGGGACCCCCAGGCACCCCCCATTCCCTGCAGACTCTCCCACCCCGAGTGCTCACCCTGTGGCTTCCGCAGGGATGCGGGGCCCTCGTGCCGTCGGTGGTCTGCCTGCGCTGTCTCTCTCAGGGCCCCTCTCTCTCTCTTTCTCTCTCTCTCTGCTGCCCGGGGAGGGTGGGGAGGGCGGGCGGCGGCGGCGGCTCAGGCCTTGTGCTGTTTGCTGGTCTTGAAGGACACCTGCAGCACACGCTCGCCCAGGCGGTAGCCGTTGAGGCTGGCGATGGCCATGGCCGCTTCGTCGTAGTTGGTCATCGTGACGAAGCCAAAGCCCTTGCACTTGTTGGTGGTGAAGTCGCGGATGACCTTGACGTTGGTGACCGCCCCGAAGGGCCCGAACAGCTGCCACAGCACACTCTCGTCCGCCTCCGGCGACAGGTTGTACACGAAGATACACCAGCCGGCGCCCGCCGCACCCCCTGACAGGCCCACGCCCGCCAGGCCGCTCATGCCGTCAATGGCGATGGGGGAGAACCTGGCGATGAGCGACAGGGGACTACTTTGGGGGTCACGCGGGCTCTGCCCTGACCCCCGGCACACCCCTGAGCCCCCGGGACCCCTGCGTTGTCCTGACCCTGCCATGGCCTCATGACCTCCGCCTCTGACCCCAGCTGAATCTCCATCCCCACCTGTAGCCCTGGCCTGACTTCTGACCTGCCCTGAAGGTCAGGCCCTCCCCCACAAGGCCTGCTGGGAGCCCCCATCTACACCCCGACCCCCTAACCTCTGAGCCTACGGGAGCCTGGCTCCTTCCCCACTCCTGGCCAACTACCCCTCCCTTGGCATACTTTCCCCCCACCACCCCCACCCCCACCCTGCCACTCCTCCTCGGCTAGAGGCCCACCAGGCGGGGAGTGCGGCTGGGAAAGCACCACCCTCCATGATAACGCAGTCCGCTGCCTTCCTCTGCCCCTTACCGGCTTTTGCCTGCTCGGATTGTGTATTTAGGATCCGCTCCCCTTTCCCTGCAAGGTTTGCTCCCTGCGGTGCCCCAGCCCGGAACAGCCCCCGAGTGCCACCGCGACCCGGAAGGTTTGTTGACCGACTGACGGAGGGACCAAGTGAATGAACAGGATTGGCTCCACCCTCGTTCCTCACTGTCTCCCTACCTTCCCAGGCCTCGTTCCGCTCAGGGGGAGCCTCAGTGGGGAGGAACGCTTGCTCACTGGCACCTTGGTCATGTCAGCGGTCTCACCGGGGTCCCCGTCACCCCTTCCCCCTTCACAGCCCTGTTCGCTGTTCCTGTCTCCTTCCCCACTAGACTGAGATAATGAATAACAGTAACAATAATCACAAGAGCGGCTACCTTTTATTGAGCGCTCACTACGTGCCAAGCACTGTGCTCAATGTCATTTCGTCTCCATGAGAGACCAAGTCTGGCTGAGCCAACTTGGGTCTCCAGCCCCGAGCCCAGCGCCCGGCACTCAGTGTGTGCTCAACAGCTCTCGATGCAGTAAACACAGGGAGCCCTCCCAGGGTCAGGGATGTGGACAACGTTGTGCGGGCCTCAAGATCCATCCCAGACTAGGGGCTAAAAGGGGGTACTCTGTGACCGTCAGCAAAGACCATCAACAGTGGCAGATGGAACGCAGACTTAGCGTGGGAACCCAGGAGCATGGCCATGACCGGACCCATGACTGTGAACCCTTCCCTGGGCTGGAGAGCGCCCCGGACAGGCCCTCCCAGGCCCAAATTCCATAGTAGCTCTTTCTAGGCATTTACTAGGCTCCATAGCCCCTCTCTTAATGGACACGCTACTCCCAGACACCAGACAGGGGGGCAGACGCAGCTAAGCTGGCTGTCCCAGTGGGGAGGTGGGGGAGGGGAGCACTCGGGCAAGAGTCCAAGGAGGGACAGTGGGGAGCTGGGGGCAGCGGGGCGGGGGCACTGTTACCTCTTGACTCCGTAGGCCATGTTGAGCAAATTATCCAGCCTGTGGAAGCAAAAAGGGTGGTCACCCGTGGCCTCCGGGCACACCCCCGGCTGTGACGCTGGCCGGGCCCAGCCTGACTGCCCTCCCTGCCCCCACCCAGCAGGCCAGCAGCCCGGCCCTGCCCCCACCCGCCTGCTCCCCGCCCGGCTGGACACCGCCTGGCACGGAACCGTGCTCACTCGGGCACTGCCTCTCGCCTGCCCTGCCGCTGCCTGGCCTGCACCCGTGTCCTGTCCCGCCCAGCCCCACTCGCCTGCCCCCACCCTGCGGGGCTCAGGTCCCCAGAAGGGGAGGTTCAAGTCTCTTTGGGGCAGTGTCTCATCTGGGCAAGTGCCTCAGGGTCCCTGTTGCTAAAATACAGGCAAGACAAGCTCCGTTCTCATGAGTATAGATACCTGGGGGCACACAGCACGGGAGGCCCATCCCCAAGAGAGGGGGGCCCCAATCAGGTGACTGTAAAATGCTTTTTTTGTTTTTTGACTCAAAAATTCTTTTTTTTTTTTTTAAGATTTTATTTATTTTTTTGACAGAGACACAGCGAGAGAGGGAACACAAGCAGGGGGAGCGGGAGAGGGAGAAGCAGGCTTCCCACGGAGCAGGGAGCCCGATGTGGGGCTCGATCCCAGGACCCTGGGATCATGACCTGAGCTGAAGGCAGACGCTTAACGACTGAGCCACCCAGGCGCCCCGATTTTTGACTCTAAAATTCTTAACACCGAGGGTGCCTGCGTGGCTCAGTCGGTTAAGCATCTGCCTTCGGTTCAGGTCGTAATCCCGGGGTCCTGGGATCGACCCCCGCCATTGAGCTCCCTGCTCAGCTGGGAGTCTGCTTCTCCTTCTCCCTCTGCCTCTCCCCACTCCTGGCTTGCACTCTCTCCCTCTCTCTCTCTAATAGATCTTTACAAAGAATAAATAAAACTCTTCACACCGATAGTGCCCCTCATAGTGCCCTGCATACATTGAGTGCCTGCTGTGTACAAGGGCTTGGCCTCAGCATCTGACTGACCCACACATTTCCCCTTTGCTGCCCTCAGTGGCCCCAGCATGTGGACACCCTCCCAGCGTCCTTCTGCCCTGCAGGAATGGGGTTCAGGGAGGGTGGCTGCAGGCTTGGGCCCCCAGCATGGGGGGGTCTAGGGTGCCTGGGGGCAGGGTGGCAGGGGGTTTACCGGAAGCGCTGCGTCTGATGGTGCAGGGGGCCTGCGTAGCGCCGGGCTGACGACTGGTAGAGGTGCGTGAGCAGGGCCTGCCCAGTCTTCTGACTCGGGTTATTGGCGAACTTGACCGTGATGGGCTCTGCCGCGCCCAGCGGCTTCTGCCCGTTCAGTCCTTTGATGGCCTCCTCAGCCTCAATCCTCTTGTCGAAGCGGATGAATCCCACACCCCGAGAGACGCCTGCCAGGGAGTGAGGGCATCATGAGGACCCTGCCCCGTCCCGTGACCCCCTTACCCGTTTCTCTCCCCGCCATCTCTATTTTGGTCCCACCTCCATGCCTTTGCCCAGTGCCCTGCCAAGTTAATCGTCCCCGGCGGCCTGACCTGTGACCTGGTCCACCAGGATGCGAGAAGTGATGATGCGGCCATACTGGGAGAAGAGCTGCTCCATTTCTTTCTGGCTCATGGTCTTGGGGAGTCCACTGACATACAGGTTAGCATCTCGGATGGATGCAGAACTGGGTCGGGCATAGGACACCTGGGGGGGACGGGCAGGTGGACAGAGGTGAGGGGAAGACCCATTTCACAGATGGGGAGAGTGAGGCCACGTCCTGACCACCAACGAGCGGCAGAAGTGCCTCATCTGTTCACTCAATAAATCTCTCTCAAGTAGTCTCCATGGGTGGCGCCGGCCAGGGCTTGAGGGAGGGGACACGGCTGTGGCCGATAATGTGGCCCGGCCTACATAAAGGGGGGAGGGAAACCTGTCGCTGGGCCCCGGGGGGCAGATGTCACCTTGAGGACCTTGAGTCCCTAGCTCCTGCTCTCACACCATACATTCCGTCAACATGACATTTCCCGCTCTTTTGGAAAGTGAGCTCGGGACTCTGGCCCTTCTCTTTCTGACCACATTGGGGCCCTCAGGGTCACTCAGGTCTTTAGCCGCCAGCTCGATGCTGATGACTCCCAAATGTCTGTCCCCAGTGTGGGCCTGAACCCCAAGCTGCATACCTGTGCGAAACGTGCCTCTGGGCGCCCCCCGAGGTCTCACAGGGGATCACAGTGAAGCTGCATCCAGCTCCCAACTGTCCCCCAGCTTGCTCCAGTTCAGTAACAGTAGCTTCGTCCTCCTGGGTGCTCAGGTCCCCAGCCTCCGTTGTCCCTGATGCCCATCTTTCACACCCACATCTAATCCACCATGGATCCTTCCTCATTACCCGGAATCCACACACTTTCCCCCACTTCCACTGCTGCATCCTGGCCCACCTCCCACCCTTGCTCACCCAGACCAGTACAACAGCCTCTACCCCACTCCCACCCTAACCTCCCCAGGCTCTTTCCTCCATGGCTGCCAGAGGGCGCCTGTGAGCAACTGAGTCAGGGCACATCTTTCCTCTGCTCAGAACCTTCTGTGGCTCTCACCTTCCCCAGAGTAAAAGTCCTTCTCACAGCCCACAAGGCCCTGCACAACCTGCCCATCACCCCACCCCCTCACCCTCCTCTCTGCCCAGAACTGCTCTGTTTCAGCCACACCAGTCTCCTCCGTATTCTCCAGACACACCAGGCACACCCCAGCCTCAGGACCTTTGCTCTGGCTGTTCCCCTCAGCCTGGAACACCCTTCCTCTCCTTTCTTCTTCCAGTCGCAACTGAAATGTCCTCCCTGTCCTCTTCCATCTGAATTTGGTCCTCTGCCCCTACCCGCCCCCGACCCTCAATTCTCTCCAAGCACTTCTCTCAGTGGTGAATTAGACACGTTTTAGTACGATCATTGGATTTGTGTCATTAATTACGGTCCAGCCCAACAATGAAACTCTCTGCAGCTGTTTAAAAAATGGTGGACGTGTATATTTATTTCCCAGAAACAGTGGTGAGTATTGTAAACTGGGGGAAAGAAAAGTCCATTTACAGAGCACCCGGTTGTGTGACCCCATCTCATTGTGTGCTTATCCGTGTCCTGGAAACACAGTCTGGAGGGGCCGCCCCCAGATGCTAACAGGTTGACCTATAGCTGGTGGAGGTACCGGGGGGCACGAGCTTCTCTTCCCACTCATTTCTGCTACTGTCTATTTTTAGTATCCTTCTAAATTAACCTCTGGGTAGATAAGGGTCATTGTCAAAGGTCTGCCTTTTGTTTGGTGTGGTGAGTTGTGGGGGCAGAGCACTTCATTAGAAACACTAATTAAAAAACTAACAAAAGGAGCGCCTGGGTGGCTCAGATGGTTGGGCGTCTGCCTTCGGCTCAGGTCATGATCCCGGGGTCCTGGGATCGAGTCCCGCATCGGGCTCCCTGCTCCTTGGGAGCCTGCTTCTCTCTCTCTCTCTCTGTCTCTCATGAATAAATAAATAAAAATCTAAAAAAAAAAAAACTAACAAAAGGAGTACACGGGGCCAGGGGTGGCTCATGGTGAGGGCACTCCTGGGCCGGAGGTAGAGGGGTCCTAATTCATGCAATTGTGCGCACCTGGGGTCCTCCAAGGAAACAAACACAAACACAGCAGCTGCTCTTCTTCCCGGGTAATATTAATTCAAAATCATGGCCACATACTCCATGGTTTCCACTCTCCCACGGGGCTATGAGTTTTGAGGGGTGAGGGCTTGTTGATGAATCAGAGTTAGGGGTGAGGGCAAAACAAGCCTCAGCTCCTGGGTGGGCGTTTGGGGTAATCGGGGGTCATTTGAGGCACTGAGTAGGTCTTTGGGGGTCTTTCCCATCCCCCCCAGGATGGGGGCTGACCCAGGTCCCTCAGCTGGCTGTGGGCTCGGCCACACCCCCTCACCGGGACACGACGTGGGCAGGGTCTGCCAGAGCACCCGGTCGGGACCAAGCATACAAGGGTGCCGCCCAGGCGGACACACAAACACAGCCACGAGGCCGCCCCGTGCCCCCAACTGCACAGCCCGGGTGCCTACACCAGCCAAAGGGTGACTCAAGGCTGCGAAGACATTCCTAGAGGCTCTGGGGGTCTCGGATAATCACAGTAAGGGTCGCAGAGCCACACACCTGTCACCACGGCACAAGCCCCCATCCTGAATTGGGCACAGGTAGACCCACCCACACAGCCCCACCAGGTCACAATTGTCACAAAGCACCAGTGCAATAAAAACAGCGTCCCACAAACACAGTGGCTCACAGCCCAGGGTATCTCACACACACACACACACACACACACACACACTGCATGGCATGCATACAGTGGCCCTCTGGATTTGTCACTCTCATGCCCCAGGGCTTCTGAGTCTAGTTGGCCATGGAGGGACCCATTAGGTCATGACCTCATCCTCCCCAACAACGCACAATGGGAAGAGGAAGAGATTCCTGCACCTCTGTTCCCAGAGAGAACGGGGGCCAGATGGGCACCCCTAGCTCAGCCTCCCCCAAGGTTCCAGAGCAGATTTGTGGGGCGGAGTCCAGACACCCCCAGGCGAACCTAGAGAGGGGGGTTTCCATGGCGATCCCCCCCAGGGAATCTGGGCTAGCAGAGTCCCAGCTGCAGCTGCTTAGAGGGGAGGTCATGGGGGGAGGGGCGTTGCACAAAGGTGGGGGAGGGCTCGCCCCTAATCCCGCCCTCCCAGACCCTAATTAGGCTCCAGATGGCAGATGGGCCCCCACCCCTCCCCCATTTCCATGACAAAGGCAAGGGGGCCTGCCCATCAGACCCTGGTCACTCTTCTACTGCCAAAGGCATGGCTACCTCCCTGAGCCACCAGAGAATGCGGAGCTGATAGTCTCACTGACAAATAAGGAAACTGAGTTTCAGACAGGCAGAGCCACTGGGCCCCGGGCGCCCAGCTAGGAACTCTTGGGGGAGAGTTTGAACCACTCAGGGGATGAGCCATGGAGAAGGATGGGTGGCAGTGGGAAAAAGGGTGTGTGGGAAGGGTGGGTGGCTGTAGGGTTTGAGTGGCCATGAAGGGGGCAGTCCAAGAGGGCGGTAATAAGGGGGATAGGGGACAGTTGCAGATGGGCAGCCATGGGGGACGGGCAGCAGAGGGAAATGAAGGCACTAACCTTGATGGTCTTCGTCTGCAGTTTGAGGCCGTTGAGGGTGTTGATGGCTTTGTCTGCATCGTTGGGATCAGAGTAGTTCACAAACCCATAACCGAGGCTCTGCCCTGTGGGCAGGACCAGGATGATGACCTCCCCAGACCTACCAGTGTCCTCCCAGACCCAGTCCTGAGAGGCTGATTGCCATCACTCAAGGTTATGAGAATCAAGAGCCTCACCTTACTGTTCCCCGAGAGTACTACCTTGTCCCCAGGACACCTCAGATCCCCCAGAGTCCTGCCTACCCCCCATCACCCCTGAGATACCCTACCAGGGGTCACATCTGTCTCCCCATCACACCTCAGATCCCCCAGGGTGCTACCTGCCCCCGTCACACCTGTACTCCTGGGACTACCACCTCTGTCCCCTCCCTCCCCACCTGCCAACAGCCACACCTGTGATCTTATCCCGAACCAACTTGCAGGATTCGATGTCACCAATGCTGCCGAAGAGACTCTTGAACTCGTCCTGGGTCATGTTCTGGGGCAGGTAGTTGACGATGAGGTTGGTCTTGCTGTCATCAGTGGCTCCGTTTGTACCAAGGAGTGGCCCGTTGGGCAGGGCCGGGCCGGCCGGGCCCCCCGCCACCTGAGACTCCATGGCCCCGAGTATCTGCTGGAGACAACAGGCCACACCTGCTCACGGCCCAGTCCCTACACAGGCATCAGTGGGAGTGAGGGGGCGCTCAGTGGTGATGGATTAGCCACGTCTGACATGGGCTTAAATATGGAGAGAGGACAGGTATTATTCTAATAATCCCTTCCACTCCTTCAGCATCAAGCAAGCACCTTATGTGTGATTTTACTGTGAAAAATTCCATATACAGATGCCATATATGTCTGTTTGCTATGTTTGCCTGTTTGTCTAAAATCAGTCTGTGCATTTGTAGAATAATAAGATGAACACTTTTGTCTTCAGAATAAGAAATGTAATGTTTTTATTAGCTTTGAAGTCCTCATAAGCTCCTCCCTGACCATGTACTGCCCTTCTCCCACCAAAGGGAATTCCTATCCCAAATGTGTTAATATTTCTTTTGCTTTGTGCATAATTTTCCCACTAGGCATTTACACCCCCCTCAGTTTTTCCACTGAGCTATTTTTTATTATTTTTCAAAAATGTATTTATTTGAGAGAGAGAGAAGAGGGGCAGAGGAAGAGGAAGAGAGAGAATCTCAAGCAGACTCCCCCCCACCCAGCACTGAGCCTGATGTGGGGCTCGATCCCATGACCCTGAGATCACAACCTGAGCTGAAATCAGGAGTCAGATGCCCAACCCACTGAGCCACCCAGGAGCCCCTATT